TTTTAGTGATAATAAAAGAAATTTAATTTTAAATTTGTGCTGCTGAATAACTGTATAATTTATGTAATTGTAAACATTTGTTTGATTCACTAATTAAGTACATGTTTAGTTTATACACAATCTTAATTTAATGCATTAATTGTTATCGTTTCCATAAATATAATATAATATAAAAAATATCCCTTTTAAATAATTTTTATACATATTGAAATTACTGTATGGTAATAAACCGTAGCAATAATAATAAAAATACGATCAAAGCAACTAAAATTGAATCATATCAATATATATATATATAAAACAGATGTTGGATATCATCCAGTTGATTTCTTCATTATTTATTATATTTATATAGTCTCTACTCTCTAGGTATATTATAATCGTTTCCCTATTGCGTAAGTGTTATACCACTAGTTACTGGTGTTAGTGTATTACACAGGAAGCTATATAAACACAGTTAAATTTATCATAATTTTGGATTATTTCATTATTCTATTTAATACACCCATTGTTTTATGATGTTATTATGATATACATTTATTTAATGTCTAGGGTCGGTTATAATGATCGGTGTTAGCATATTGATTTATAAGAGTTTTTAAATATTAATAATAATATAATGGTCTTGTACTTTYTTAATCCTTCAAATATTATATTTTTTTGTATTAAATTGGTATTAAAAAACTTATCAGTTTGATTATATTTCCAATAGATATGACTTGTACAATCTGTAAACTCATTAACTATATATAAAAAACACACAATTAGAGTAGCTGAATAACTATATTCATTGAAACATACCTACTATAATTTAAAAACAGATTATAATGTTAGTTTCGTTCAAAAAAAAACTAAATGGTCGCAGTTTGCACTATTGTTTTATGCTTTACCAATATTAAAACAATGATATAAACATAAAATCAACACTAAACTACACTACACTTCATTACCATTTAAAATTACGAATAATATAAGTGTCTTGAAAGTTGTGGATAAAATTAATTACTGCCGTTCTAGCCCCAGAAATTTGTAACTAATGATTATTACGTATAATATGACTTTATGCTCACTACATTTTGAAATATGTGTATTAGTTGTATTGTCTTTTTATCGTACAAGGTCATATATTGTTTCACATCGTTTAAAAATTAGCATCAATATTTTAATAATATAGAAAAATAACAATTTTCCATTTTTCTGTGAATAGTTAACACGTAGGTGTATTTATATTTTAATTAAACAGTTTACTAATAAACATTTTTAACAATAAAATAAATCGTTCTATTCGTTAATCATTATTGAGATTATTATGAAGATTGTTTACACACAACAATAACAATTTTAAAAATAAACAAATATAAACAAATTTAACTACCTAATGTATAACATCTAATAATCACACTACGTACTTATTACAATGTATTATAATTTTTATCCTACATATTGCCATATTGGTGATATATTTAAATACAATAATTTTTGTCAACGTTATAATATGATTATTCTTAATGTTTGCTTGTTAAATGTAAGAAATTGTAATTAGCTACTTATGTAAATTAGAATAAACAAATTCTTATGATTGTAATTTATTTAAAACTGTAGCTAATCGAGGGCAGACATTGTAAAAAGGTTTGCTAAAAAAAAGACAATTAATTTTTGTATATTATTAAATATACATTTTTTATCAAATAGAGGTAAATCATTAGGTACATTGTAAATGTATTAATAGACATATACTGTTACATAATTATATGATAATCAAGAAATTTACTTGAAATGGTCCATCGATTCATTTTATTTTCTCGTCGCTTTCTAAATTTAAATTAAACATTATTTGAGTAACATTGCTTTTTTTCAAAAGTTAAGGTACTATATCAGCGTGATAAACGTGCTTTGAACTTTGAAATATCTACTAATATTTATACAATGAAAAAATCAATTAATTAAACATCTTAATATTATTCTTAAAACTCAAAAAAAATATGGATTTGATAAAAAAAAAATAAGTACCTATTTAATCTAACCTAGCTTTATATATGTTTATTATTCTTC